AAATTCTCGAAACATTACGACCAAATTCTCGAAACATTACGACGAAATTCTCGAAACATTAGGACCGAATTCTCGCAATGTTATGACCTTATTCTCATAAAAAAATTAAATCTCAAGCCTGGCCCTAATACTCCATTGTAAGTTAGAGAAACAAGATGTAAAACAAAATAAAAACTAAAAATAATTCTAACTTAAAAGGAAAAAACAAAACAAGAAAGATCGACAAATATTAAACATTAAAACATGTTGAGCACTGATGATTGGAAGTTTTGTTTCCCAACAAAAACAAAATGTAGAAAAAAAATCTAAAACATGCAGGTCTGATTTCATCCTTCCACTCAACAGCAGTCAGAGTTTAGCCAAGTGAATTTAGGCTAAAGCAGATCATCCTGTAATTGTGTAGATGTTGTGAAGTGACCACAAAAATGCTGGATCCTGCATGCTAACATATTTCTAATGAGGATTTACAGTCTACAGCATCACTCAACCACAACCTGTGGGTTTTTGTTTCCCCACAATTTCCATTTAAACAAAGCCAAAGAGATATGAGATAAATTTAATCTGTTTACACTTGCTGCCAAAATACTTTTACACATTGAAGTTAGCACATACTGGCTTCTTGAATAAAAAACATTAAAATAAAAAAAATTGCCCTTAATTATATTCATCTATATTAATACACCAAATTTTGTATTTGAACAGATATATTTACTTTGTGATTATTTACATCAAAGGTGAATTTTCTTTCCCCAACTTGCATAAATAGATTATTTAAACGGCCACCAATCAGATCATAAAATACAGCATCCATGAACTTCCCTGAAGATAAATGCAAATATTCAATGAAGGGAGTCTTTCCACCAGAGTTTAACTGGACCTGTTCAGTCACAAAGTCTCACATTTACATTATAAACATGCAAAAACTGAGATAAAATGGACTTTCGACTGACAAATATCAAATGCTCCCACATTCTAGACACGGGATGTTTATTGGACTACTAAAACTCCGTAGTCATGAATGAACACTAAGTCCTGAGAGCTGACATTCCTGGAAAAAGGAAAAAAAAGTGGAAACTCAGGGAAGTGGTGAGGAACAACCAGTAGCCAATCTGGGAGCACCTCCTTTGGGGGCGTATATGGGGGCACACTGACCTACTTTCAGCTTAAAACCCAGATGTTTACACAACTTTAAAGAAATGTACACATCAACAAGGTATTTTCTGAGGGGGTTATAGAAGCAGGGGAGCCAATCAAACGAGATGCCACATGACTCAGCAGTAAGCAAATACCGTCCTGCTTACTCTGTCTCTCTCCTCATTTCCAGGCCTTCTGGAGAATTGCCTAGAGGTTTAAACAAGACATCGCTCAGCTTCTAGGTTCCACTCTAAAGGCTAAGAAAGGCTCCCCGGCTGCAGCGTCCCAATAATCTGCTGAACTGGTTCCAGGCCAAAGCCCCTGATACTTCCTGCAGGCTTTGAGACCAATATGAATCAGGGAGCATTTTAAAAACAGTCCAGGGGTTTCTGTAAAGACTCAGTGGGCTGATGCAGAGACGACGAACCTACAGCAGGGTTCCTACAGCATAAGGAAAGTTAAATTCAACACTTTAAGACTTTTTAATGCCACTTGAAATAAAAACTTAAGACCAAATTCACAAGAAAC